CTACGAGGCCACCATCACCTTGATACCAAAACCAGACAAGGATGTCACAAAGAAAGAAAACTACAGGCCAATATCACTGATGAACATAGATGCAAAAATCCTCAACAAAATACTAGCAAACAGAATCCAACAGCACATTAAAAGGATCATACACCATGATCAAGTGGGGTTTATTCCAGGAATGCAAGGATTCTTCAATATACGCAAATCTATCAATGTGATTAACCATATTAACAAATTGAAGGAGAAAAACCATATGATCATCTCAATAGATGCAGAGAAAGCTTTTGACAAAATTCAACACCCATTTATGATAAAAACCCTGCAGAAAGTAGGTGTAGAGGGAACTTTCCTCAATATAATAAAGGCCGTATATGACAAGCCCACAGCCAACATCATCCTCAATGGCGAAAAACTGAAAGCATTTCCACTAAGGTCAGGAACAAGACAAGGTTGCCCACTCTCACCACTCTTATTCAACATAGTTTTGGAAGTTTTAGCCACAGCAATCAGAGAAGAAAAGGAAATAAAAGGAATCCAAATCGGAAAAGAAGAAGTAAAGCTGTCACTGTTTGCAGATGACATGATACTCTACATAGAGAATCCTAAAGATGCTACCAGAAAACTACTAGAGCTAATCAATGAATTTGGTAAAGTAGCAGGATACAAAATTAATGCACAGAAATCTCTGGCATTCCTATATACTAATGATGAAAAATCTGAAAGTGAAATCAAGAAAACACTCCCATTTACCATTGCAACAAAAAGAATAAAATATCTAGGAATAAACCTACCTAAGGAGACAAAAGACCTGTATGCAGAAAATTATAAGACACTGATGAAAGAAATTAAAGATGATACAAACAGATGGAGAGATATACCATGTTCTTGGATTGGAAGAATCAACATTGTGAAAATGACTCTACTTCCCAAAGCAATCTATAGATTCAATGCAATCCCTATCAAACTACCACTGGCATTTTTCACAGAACTAGAACAAAAAATTTCACAATTTGTATGGAAACACAAAAGACCCCGAATAGCCAAAGCAATCTTGAGAACAAAAAATGGAGCTGGAGGAATCAGGCTGCCTGACTTCAGACTATACTACAAAGCTACAGTAATCAAGACAGTATGGTACTGGCACAAAAACAGAAAGATAGATCAATGGAATAGGATAGAAAGCCCAGAGATAAACCCATGCACATATGGTCACCTTATCTTTGATAAAGGTGGCAGGAATATACAGTGGAGAAAGGACAGCCTCTTCAATAAGTGGTGCTGGGAAAATTGGATAGGTACATGTAAAAGTATGAGATTAGATCACTCCCTAACACCATACACAAAAATAAGCTCAAAATGGATTAAAGACCTAAATGTAAGGCCAGAAACTATCAAACTCTTAGAGGAAAACATAGGCAGAACACTCTATGACATAAATCACAGCAAGATCCTTCTTGACCCATCTCCTAGAGTAATGGAGATAAAAACAAAAATAAACAAATGGGACCTAATGAAACTTCAAAGCTTTTGCACAGCAAAGGAAACCATAAACAAGACCAAAAGACAGCCCTCAGAATGGGAGAAAATATTTGCAAATGAATCAACTGACAAAGGATTAATCTCTAAAATTTACAGGCAGCTCATGCAGCTCAATAACAAAAAAATAAACAACCCAATCCAAAAATGGGCAGAAGACCTAAATAGACATTTCTCCAAAGAAGATATACAGACTGCCAACAAACACATGAAAGAATGCTCAACATCATTAATCATTAGAGAAATGCAAATCAAAACTACAATGAGATATCATCTCACACCAGTCAGAATGGCCATCATCAAAAAATCTAGAAACAATAAATGCTGGAGAGGGTGTGGAGAAAAGGGAACACTCTTGCACTGCTGGTGGGAATGTGAATTGGTTCAGCCACTATGGAGAACAGTATGGAGGTTCCTTAAAAAACTACAAATAGAACTACCATATGACCCAGCAATCCCACTACTAGGTATATACCCTGAGGAAACCAGAATTCAGAAAGAGTCATGTACCAAAATGTTCATTGCAGCTCTATTTACAATAGCCCGGAGATGGAAACAACCTAAGTGCCCGTCGTCGGATGAATGGATAAAGAAGATGTGGCACATATATACAATGGAATATTACTCAGCCATAAAAAGAAACGAAATTGAGCTATTTGTAATGAGGTGGATAGATCTAGAGTCTGTCATACAGAGTGAAGTAAGTCAGAAAGAGAAGGACAAATACCGTATGCTAACACATATATATGGAATTTAAGAAAAAAAAATGTTATGAAGAACCTAGGGGTAAAACAGGAATAAAGACAGAGACCTACTGGAGAACAGACTTGAGGATATGGGGAGGGGGAAGGGTGAGGTGTGATAGGGTGAGAGAGAGACATGGACATATATATACTAACAAACGTAAGGTAGATAGCCAGTGGGAAGCAGCCGCATGGCACAGGGAAGCCTGCTCGGTTCTTTGTGGCTGTCTGGAGGGGTGGGATAGGGAGGGTGGGAGGGAGGGAGACAAAGAGGGAAGAGATATGGGAACATATGTATATGTATAACTGATTCACTCTGTTATAAAGCAGAAACTAACACACCATTGTAAAGCAATTATACCCCAATAAAGATGTTAAAAAAATTTTAAAAATTAAAAAAAAACAGTGTAGTGTAGACACGAAAATGAACAAATCAAACAGGAAAACAGTCAGAAACAGACTAATACATATTCAGTCTACTGACTTACAATAAGCATTCTACTGCAATTCACTGGGCAGAGGATGGTCTTTTCAATGAATAAAGAAAGGTATAGAGAAATAAGTGAACTTTTACGCCTACCTCCCACCATATAGAGAATTAATTCAGGGGGATCATAGAGCTAAATATGAACCACACACACGGAAAAGCTCCAAGAAGGAAACATAGGAGACTATCTTCGTCAACGTTGGATTAACAATGATTTCTTAAATAAGATGTAGGAAGTTCTAACCATAAAAGAAAAGATTGCTACATTCATTTTTATTCAAATTAAGAACTTTTGTTTCACCCAAAGACATTAGTAAGAGATTAAAAAAGCAAACCAAAGCCTGGAAGAAGTTACCTGTAAAGGCATCCAACCAAAGTCTCATCTCTGGGGCTTCCCTGGTGGCGCAGTTCTTGGGAGCCTGCCTGCTAATGCAGGGGACACGGGTTCGAGCCCTGGTCTGGGAGGATCCCACATGCCGCGGAGCAGCTAGGCCCGTGAGCCACAACTACTGAGCCTGCGCATCTGGAGCCTGTGCTCCGCAACAAGAGAGGGCACGACAGTGAGAGGCCCGCGCACCGCGATGAAGAGTGGCCCCTGCTCGCTGCAACTAGAGAAAGCCCTCGCACAGAAACGAAGACCCAACACAGCAATAATTAATTAATTAAATAATTAACTCCTCCCCTCAACATCTTAAAAAAAAAAAAAAAGTCTCATCTCTAGAGTTGCAACAAATTGATAAGCAAGCACAAACAATCCAATTTAAAAATGGCAGACAACTAGAAGAGGCCCATCCCCAAAGAGGAAATTCAGATGGTCAACAGCCTGTCTCATGGTGGTCAGTGTCACTGACATTTGGGGAAATGTAAATTGGAACCAGAGTGAGATACAACGACTGCAGCCCCAGACTGGCTGAAAGACTGATAACATCAAGTGTGGGCAAGGATGTAGAGCAGAAGAAACGTTCATCCGCTGCTGGCAAGGGGGCAAGTTGGTACAACTGCTTTATAAAATTGCTTGGCAGTTTCTAATGAAGGATGTACATGTCCTATGACCACACTATCCCACACCTAGACGGGTGCCTAACAGAAATGCATGCATGGGGCACTCAAACACGTATACAAGAATGTGTGCAGCAGCAAAACTGAAAACCCCCCAAATGTACATCAACTGAGAACTAGAGAAATAAATTATGGTGCATTTATCTGATAGTTCACAGCAATACAGTGAACCATGGCTACACTCAATAACGTGGATAAATTTCACACTCATAATTTTGGGCAAAAGGAATCAGACATGAAAGAGTACATGCTATACGGTTCTGTTTATGTCAGAATCAAAGATGAGCAAAATTAATATACAAGTGAGCACAGCAGCTACATTTTGGGGGAGGAAGGAGAAAACTAGGAGGCTGGGGGAGTGACGCTGGGGGCCAGGGGTTTTCTGAGGTTCTGGTGATGTTCTAGAACAGGGTTTCTCAACTTTGACACTGTTGACATCTTGGTCTGGGCCCTTCTTTGCTGTCTTATACGCTGCAGCATTCCTGGCTTCAGCCCACTGGGTGCAGCTAGCAAACACGCCCTCCTCCAGCTGTGACAACCAAAAATGTCTCCAAACATTGCCAGTGGTCCCTGGGGATGGGGGTCAAAATTTCCCTGGTTGAGGACCTTTGTTTTATTGCTGGTCTTGGAGGACTGGGTTAGTGAGCTCACTTTGTGAAAATGCATTGAGCTGTACATGTAAGATTCATCAGCTTTTCTGCATGCATATTTAACTTTAAGAGTTTTTTAAATTAAAAAGAAAAAAAGTCAATGAATAACTAAAAGAGCCAAAACTTTTAGAGCTAGCAGGGACACTAGATGCAGTGTCTTGCAGATAAGGAGGCTAAGGTACAGTGGCTCAGAGTTAACCCCACACCGGCTTCCCCTCCCCCACCCTGCCCCCTCCCTCCCAGGCCGACTCGCTCCCCAAGACAGCCCAAGTCAGAGCCGAGGCCGATCCCATGCAGGTACTCGGTTGGACCTCTGGACCCCAAACCCCATTGTGGAAGGGGCTTGGTTGACCTTACACCCACACTCTGCAAAGAGAATTCTGAAAACCAATAGCTCATGCAAACAGGATATTAGCTTTTGTCAGAAAGATCAAAAAGGGCTTTGAGGTTTTTCTTCTCAGCCTCAGCCTCCCCTGCGTCTCCCTCCCTGCTTTATCTGCTCGCTTCAGTCGGCATCAGGAAGAGATGGCAGCGGGTGAGACTCAGATCTATGCCAAGGTTTCCAACAAGCTCAAGGGCCGCAGCACCACCTCGCTCCTGGACCCTCTCCTGGGCATGGGCTTCCCGGCACACACCGCGTGAGTACCACCCTGCCTGGCCATGTGCCCTGGACGCTGAGCTGACACCTCTGGGGCCACAAAACTGCAGGTGGCTCAGAGCACTTACTTCCTGTCAAGGGGTGCACCATGCCGGGCCAGAGACTGGCTCAAAATGAGGCCTTTTCTGCTTTTATAAATGACACGACCTTTGCCTTTTAAAGACAAACTCTGCTGGCTGGTGATGGAGGGACCTTGAAATTTGCGAAAATTGGAAGCAGGGTTTGGAGGGGCCTGGCTGTACCCTCTCTGTGGGCAGCTCAGTGAATCTGAGACAGCTTTTTAGACTCGAATTTGAAAGCCCCAAAGCCAGGTGGGTCTCTGATGCTGGGACCTCTTGAAATACACAAGAATGTAGTTCTAAATATGCAGGGAAACCCCTTGTCCTTAGTGGGGGACTCTCTTGAATGTCTGATAATGGAGCGAAATGGTAAGGAACTCCCCAAGCAGGGTGGACATGATCCTAGTTGTCCAAGGAGAAGGGCCACACAGAGACGACTCCACCTTGAAGGTTACCCTCTGGGAGAGGACAGGGTCCCCCAAAACAATGAGCTTGAGACCGACATCAGGTTGCAGCTTCCACAGTGTTCTTAGATCTGGTGCTTTTCACATGTTTATTCATGTGGGAAATACATCATAAGTCCCCTTAGGTAACCTCGGATTTGGGGGTGGGGGGCAAACTCTCCTTAGACAGATGACAAACCCTTGCCCAACTGCGTGGAATGACTGAGGCTGGACCCCTTTCCTCCCCAACCCAAATCAGGACTTTGTTGTCATGCTCATAGTAAAGCGGGGGTCTGTGAGACGGGAACAGAACCAAACGTGTGCAGGGTGCTTGCCGTGGGCCGGGCACCGTCCATCAGGGGCAGACGGAGACACCGAGGCCGGAGAGGGCAGATTCTGGAGGGGCAGGGCTGGAACCCCACTCCCAGTAACACTCACGCTTGCAACACTCACACTTTATTACGTGACCAAAGCCACCATCGGAGACATACTCAAAATTCCTTCCAGTTTAAACAGCTGCGTGTTGGAGGTGGAGAAACGTGTTTTAAACGTCTCCCTTAGGTGAGAGCGCCCAGGTAAGGCTCCTGTTAACCTCTCCAGGCAGCCTCATCCCTGCCAGTATCCTCTGAAATAGCAGCGCTGGGCACTGGCCATCTTGGGTGCCTGGTCAACTCTGGCTATTTCCAGGCTTAATTCCCAGATGAATTACCTTCACCAAACTCCATTCTGTCCAGTTCAGTCCCCTTCAGTTAAACTCCATTCAGTGTACATTCATCCCAGTTTCAAGGATGAGTAAGACTTGGTTGGGCCCAGGGAGCCCGTGGTCCACTTGATCAGGTAGATGGACTCAAGTCCATTGAGATGAGGGGCAAGGTGGCCATATGTGCGGTGGGGAAGTGTCCTGCTTGGGTGGTTTGCGGAGGGCTTCTTGGAAGAGGACCATCTGAGCCGAGACTGGAAGACCCAGCGCCATTTCCCCCAGGGCATGTTGGCACCGGGCCTAATCTTGGCGGGGAGGCATGCGTGCAAGCCTGGGACATGGCCCTGCACAGCCGACTCAAGGGTCCAAGAGTGGGTCCACCTGGCTGGGGAGCAGGTGCATTGGGGAGGGATGGGGACGTGGGATTCAGGTGTGGGTGGACCTCAGGACAGGAGCCCTTGAACTCCGTGCCAGGGACTGGGGGTGGGGGCCAGGGAAGGAAAATGATGGGCTGAGATGCAGGGCGTCTGCATTTCCAAAACTACAGTGATGCCACGCGGAGGGCGGAGGTCTGGGCGCTGCATCCCACTGTGAGGTCTGGCCGTCCAGCCCCTGGGGGAGACCCCCTAAGGTCCCATGTACTGCTGGGACACTCCTGTCTCTCTGACCTTTTCCAAACAACAGAAGGCAGGTTCTGAGAGCTCCTCGTGTTCTCCCTCCCCACAGGCTCAAGGCGTTGGCAGCGACTGGAAGGAAGACGGCGGCGGAGGCGTCAGACTGGTAGGTGCGGTGAGGTCTCTGCAGGGTGAGCGCTGGGAAGTGCCCAGGACACTCCAGGGGGCGGGGAACCTCCATGCCGCCCACCGAGCACCCAGGGAAAGGAATAAAGAGGCCCTGGTTAAAATGGAAAACAAAAGAGAGAAAACTTTGAACAACGTTTTCTTCACTTAGAAGTCTGATTTAATCCAAATGTGCCTGTCAGTGAAGAACAATATCCGTGTGATTTGTTGAGTAAATAGGGCAGAGCCATTCTTGCTGGTATGAAGGCAAGGTTGCCACCATCTTCACCTCTGATGGGGCAAGAACTTGCAGGTGGTGCTGAATGCCCCCCAAGGCCTCGCACGTTGCCCCTCAGGGTGCCAGGTGCCTGGGGGCTGGGGGGAGCTCTGGGTTCCAGGAGGCTCAGCCAGCCCTCAGCTCTGCGGCTCTGCCAGCCTTCTGCTGCTACGGGCCTCGGTTTCCTGCCCTGGGAATCAAAGAGGACACCCCGTTCTCTAAAACTCAGTCCCGCCCGCGTGTGGCATGATGCCATCATCCTGCCCCTGGTGGGAAGTCCCCTCGTGCTCCGCCCCGGAATAGCTGCAGTGAAAAATCAAACAAAAACCCCAGGTCCTACCAGGCTGGGATGCCCTCCCCAGAGCAAGATGGCAGACACAGGCATCAGGTCTCTGAGGGCTCAGCGTGTCCTCAGCGCAAGCCCCCTCCTCCTCCAAAAACTCTAGGCCAAGGGCAAAAATGCCAACCCTGTACAGGACAAAGGGAAGCATCCAGGACCCTCTGGGCTAGGCTAACCCTAAAGTCAATTGCAGAATTGGAATTAAAAACCAAACGCACTGCCCTGAGGGTCGTGCTAGTGGTGACTTAGCCAGAAAGCCCAGCAGACCCACCAAAGAACAGGGAGGTGGTGGGTCCCCTAGATTCTGTGAGAGTGGGCCCAACCACACTCCTAATCGGGGGCGGGGGGCTGCAAATTAGGATGCCGTTAACAGCAAAAGGCGGCTTCAAGTGTTGGTGAGAATGAGGGGAAGGTGGTCTCTCACTTTCTCAGCTGCAATAGCGGTGAATATCAACACTGAAAATGTGTAGCTGCCACCCAGAAGTTCATGTCCAAGTACATTCCGTGGAGAAACACAGAGGACCTAAAAGGACGTGTACAAAGATCTTGATCACAGAGCTGTGAAATTTTAAAAAAAGAAAACAATTTAAATGTCCATCAATGGCATGGGTGGATGAGATATTACATATGTAGATGATGCACTGTTAAACAGACCTTAGAAGGTTCATTCTGACAAACTTCCCCAGATCTATGTGTATCCATGTGGAGGGATCACAAAAACACAGGGTTGAGTAAAAAATGCAAGTTGCAGAATTATTTGAACAATAGCTTATGATTTATATAAAACACACACAAGTGCTATCTGTGGATTTGTTACCTAAATGTCTAGAAGAAAACAAAGCAGATTAAGACGAGGTTTCCTCTAGAAAAAGGGAAGTGAGCTGCAATGGAAGGGGTATAGCTTCCTCTATTGGTATTTTTTTTATTAAGGAGAAGGTATTTGTGTGTATCTTATGTTTTGTCCAGTGGCTGTACCCTGATTCCTAAATTCAATATTATATCACAAGCACTTCTCTGAGTCATCAAAAATTATTCAAATCCATAATTTCCAATGACTACATGATAAAGTTATTATCTTTTTTCTCATTTTTTCCTTCTTTCCTATTATAAATAACCATACAATAAATATGTTATATGAAGTCTTATCTATACATTTTGCCTCGGATAAATTTCTGGAAGTGGAATTATTTGTTCAAATGGAATGGGTATTTTAAGGCTATTGACACATCTTAGCAAATTGCTATATGTAAAGGTTGCAGAAATTCATCCTTAAGTCTCACTGCACCTTCGACACAATTAAGCCTAACTTTTACCCTCTCAAAGACATTCTGTTAATTTGACAAGTGAGAAAATTAGTGTCTCGTGGTCGCCTCAATTTTTTTTTTTTTTGCGGTACGCGGACCTCTCACCGTTGTGGCCTCTCCCGTTGCAGAGCACAGGCTCCGGACGCACAGGCTCAGCGGCCACGGCTCACGGGCCCAGCCGCTCCGCGGCATGTGGGATCCTCCCGGACCGGGGCAGGAACCCGCATCCCCTGCATCGGCATGCGGACTCCCAACCACTACGCCACCAGGGAAGCCCCAATTTTTTTTTTATTATTGGTGAGAATGAACTTGAATTGGGGGCTCTATGTCATTTTTCCTAGTATTTTTTTTCCTAGTATTTAAAATAACTTTCTGAATTGAAAGAAAATATGGTAGCCACCTAAGTTCTGTCTAGTTCTTTGTGGCTTTGATTTTTACACTGAATTTGAAGTTGGAGATAAAATTAAAGTGTGAGTTTTTTTCCACAGAATTTTCAACCCTAAGGAGATGACTGGCCCACAAAGACCATCAGAAGAGCAGGTTTTGAGTGTTTCCATCACCTTTCTCTACTTTTCTGGGTCTTTGGCCTGGGAATCAGACTAGCCAGGATCTGAGACCTGGCTGGACACTGACCTGCTCTGCGGCCACACTCAGCCCCATGCTCGGCAAGTCCCGCCCGGGCATGGACACCTCTGCTCTGCACGGCCTGCTGTTCTGAGTTGCTGTCACCACTGTCCTGTGTCCTCCACGGGGAAAGATTCTCTTGGCCACAACGCCAGGTAAAAGTGTCCCATTCTCTGTTGCAGGCTGCACTGCCATTGCAATGACCCTTCTCTTGACGACCCCATCCCCCAGGAGTACGCCCTTTTCCTCTGTCCCACGGGGCCCCTGCTGGACAGACTTGAAGAATTCTGGAGAGAGAGCAGGCGTCAGTGCTCCAAGAACAGAGCCCATGAGGTCTTCCCTCACATAACGCTCTGTGACTTCTTCACGGTGAGTCGGTCCAAGGAGTTTTTCATGCTCATTAACACAGCAGCTGAGTCATTTTCCACCAGAACTAGGTGCTGATGGGTCAAAATGGAGGGGTTTACTTTCACAGGGTGGTCCACACTGGTGGTGTTAGCTGGACTCTTTGTGTGAGATATCCTTTACTTTCCTCCTCATCTTCGTCTGGTCAACTTCTATTCATCCTTCAGAACCCAACTCATTTATCCCCTCCCTTTTTGAGGCTTCCCCAGCTCCCCAGGCAGAAGAGGTTGCTGCCCTTTGTGCTCCCACCATCCTCTTGTTTCTAAGTCTAGTGGCACTCTTTCTCTCT